TGCTTTCTAGTCCTAAGCATTTATAGTCACTGTTGTAGAGTGGAAAGAGGAGCCTGGCTGTGGAGTTACATGACTCTATTTTACATCTCACCTCCAATTTATTACCTGTATGATCTTGGGCAAATCATTGAACTTCCCTGGGTCTCAGTTTCCTCATCTGGAAAAAGATAAGGTTGAACTAAATGAGAGATGTCAAACACACGGCCAACACATGCAGTCCACAACATTCTCAAGTGCAGCCTGAACCAGATTAAAATGTAATTGGGAAACATTTAGCAAAACAAATTAAAATATAATAAAACATAGATTGTGTTAATACATGGTTTTCCAGATCAATATGTGCATTTGTTTTTGTTCAGTCGTGTTTGACTCCTCATGACCCCATTTGACATTTTCTTGGCAAAGATACTGCAGTGGTTTGCCATTTCCTTCTCCGTGATATAGGCTTGACAAAACTGATGGCATTTTACAGATGATAAAACTGAGGCAATCAGGGTTAAGTGACTTGCCCGGGGTCCCTCAGTCAGTAAATGTCTGAGGCCAGATTTGAGCTCAGGCAGATGAGTCTTCCTGACTCCAAGCTATCAGTTTTTGAATCAAAAAAAAATTAGTTAATTTGCAAAAATCTCCAGATCTATGGTGGCCACTGTACAGTATGTTTATGTGTGAAAGGCAACTTTCACACATAGTATGTAGTACTGGATCCAAAGTCAAGAAGGCCTGGGTTCAAATCTTACCTGTTGTGATTATTAACTGTTACTATAAGAAAGTCACTTAACCTCTCTCATCTTCAGTTTCCTCAACTATGAAGTGACAAGTAGAATCTACCTCATAGAGTTGTGGTAGGGCTCAAATGAGATATTATATATATATATATACATGCTACACCATATGTGCTGTTATATCTATTATATACTATATTGTGTATGCTACATATGTATATGTGCTATCTATCTACATATATACATATACACATACACACATATAGATAGCAATTTGCAAACCTTCAAGCCTATATAAATTTCATTGTTTTTGTTATTAAGGATAGAGCCAGCACCTATAATTCATTAGTTAACTCCTTCTACAAGTGCATACAGCCACTTTGTCTTAAATTTATAGTCATAAAAAATTCAATAGAATTTTTCAATAGAATTAAGAGGTGAAGCAACTTATGGTTTATAGGCAGAACTTGAAACCAGATCTCCCTAGCTCTCTATCCACTACCCCCATGCTGTCTCACTATTGCTATTATTATGCAAATTAAATTAGCAAGTATAAATTCTAATGACAGCTCCTTTCCCCCCCCCACCCATGGGAGGGGATTAAAGAAGCACTGGCCTTGGTACTATTTTCTGCTCCCTTTGCATTCCACTTCGCCCACCTGTTCTAACTTTGGTCAGCCTGCATTTCTCCAGTGGCGCAAACATTGGCTGGCATTTACACAGATGTAGGCAATGACACCCTTCAGGGGCATACAGCCTATTGTCTGAACAGGTGCCATTTGGGCAAGCAAGCAGGAGCTGTGCGCAGGAAGTGACATAAATCCAGTTTCTCGAGACAGATTGGTAAATGGGTTTTCCATCTTTGCCACAGACTGATTGAGCTCCCAACATTTACCAACAAAATCCAGCCCAAGGGGGCGATACCCCTTGTTGTCACTGAGACTTCATGCTATTCTCTCTTGCACAGTGTCCTTCTCCAAGAAGTGTCTCTGCTGTTGGAACAGCATATCTGCTTGTCTGGAAAATGAGAAGTCAGACTTCTCATGGCTAAGTGGCCATAAGGTTACCAAGTGAATGAGAGGTGAGGGTCTCAGAGAGACTCATAAGGCTCTTTCGGTAGAAACTGACTCTTGCTTCTTGATAAAGAAGTGTGCAGACTAGCATAACTGTTAGTTTCCAAAACTGAGCCCTGCACTCTGGGTACAATCATCTCTTAGATTACTGACAGCTATAAAAAAATATGATTCCAAATTCTGTAAGAGATATGCCCAGGATTCATGCCCACCTCAGGAGCAAGACAACAAAATCAACTTTTGACCTTCCAGGTATTTCTATTCCCATCTCACCAGATCATTTCTGTCCTGACGTGTTAATTTGGCTTCATTTAATTTTTTTTTTTTTTTACAAAACTGGCTTCCCAAATTACTTAGCAGGGTTGTCACCTGGTTCTTTGAGTATTAGGAGTGGTAGAGAGGAGGAGCAGGTGTCAGGAGCCCAAAGAGCCAACTAACTCCCCAATTTTACCAAGATTCCCAGGCTGCTAAGAGTCAAAACTAGCATCCTTGAATGGGGCAAAATGCAGCAGAAAGATGGGGAGGGGGAACTTCTCCATATACTGAGCTGTTCCATAATCCTCTATTGTTGTTGTTGTTCTGTCATTTTCAGTCATGTTTAACTGTTTGTGACCCTATTTGGGGTTTTCTTGGCAGAGATACTGGAATAATTTGCCATTTTCTTCTCCAGCTCATTTTACAGATGAGGAAACTGAGGCAAACAGGGCTTAAGGGATGTGCCCAGAGTCACACAGCTAGTAAGTGTCTGAGGCCAGATTTGAAGATGAGTCTTCCTGACTCCAGGCCCAGCACTGTACCATCTACTGCACCACCTCACTGCCAATATCCCCCATTAGCCTGGGACAAAGTCCTTAGGAACAGCTGTATAGGAATGGGATCATGGTATTGTGGAAAGAATATTGAATTTGGAATCAGCTATCACAAGTTCAAATCTTAGCTTTGGCCATTTGCTATCTTTGCGATCTTACTTACTTGGTTTCTTGGAGGTTTTAATTTCCTCATCTGTATATATGAAGGGGCTGTATATATGAAGGCACCTTACAGCTTATTCTATAATCTTGACCTAAATCCACTTAGTTACCAGATTCCCTCCACTAACTATGACTTTTACCCACCCTGTTTTACTATCTGATGGTTGATACAATTTCACTCTGTGACTTATAAAGTCAAACTGAGTATACTATATAGGTAAAAGGTGAAATAACTTTCCTACATCTCTTTTCCACTCCTATTCCCACTCCCCAGTTAATAAAGAGTAAATTACACCACCCCAAGACCTTTTGTACTACTCATAAATGTCTGCATCTCACTTTCTTTGAGAGTCAGGCCTTTCCATGGTAACCAGCATGGTAGGAGTGAGGGCAGCTAAGCTTGAGTCACTGGAGAAAAATAAATGTTGGGACATGAAAAAAAAAATCATTATTAATTAATTTATTAGTTTTTATATGTCCACTGCTTAGTAGCCACAGGTTATGCATAAAAAAATGGGGTCAACCCCATTCCCAACCAGAAATGGAGAGAGAATAAACTATAAAGGAATGATACTTACTGTGGAGAAGCAAGTCAATTTATCAGTGGGCACAGGAAGGCAGCAGCTGCTGCCAATAACCCTAATGAGGACACCAACCTTCTTCCCTCTCTGTGGCTTTCTGTAAGTAACTTAGAAAAGCAGAAAAACCCAGCAGCTCTGAGCTGTTGTTTAGGCAGGTACCTCATACTGCATTGCAGAGCAGTGAAAATTGGAGGGGAAGAGAGTGAGAAAGCTGTCTCAACACGACAAAGCAGTGCAGCTCTGAGGGTCTACTGGGTCCTCGATGTCTTCCTCTGTATTACTTTGTCCCCCCACCCCTCGTTGTGCATGTCCCAGGGAGGAGAGGGGACATCTCCAGTCATCCTGATCTATATCTTGTCACTGGACCCAGATGGCTCCAGAGGAGAAAGTGGGGCTGGTGACTTTGCACAGCCCTCCCTCATTTAAATCCAATTCACTTTCAAGTCATGGCATCACCTTCCTGATATCATGGTCCTGTTCGAGAACAAAAGACAAACAACAACAACCCTGGGAATGTCTTATGTACCACACTATACTGTAAGTTACCTGAGGTCTTGAGCGCAATAAATAGTGGAGAGTTTTACAAGGTGTCCCCACTCCAGCATATGGAGTCCTTGATAACACCTCCTGAGCTTTTTCCTATCCTTTTGGGAATATCTGTACCAGAAGTCTTAGATGCTGACATCAGATAGAGATGAGACTTTTTTCATCCAGGGAGCTATGCGAACAACATTGGGCACTGGTAAATCCGCCTCCAGAAAGTCTAAAGTAAGCAAGACATCAATAAATACCTTGAAGGCCTGAAGTCCAGGACAAAGACTCCTGGGGTATAGGCTGAGAGATCCCATCCCTATACATAAACGCTAGGGAAGCAGTTTCTGAAAAGGCAGAAATAGCTATCAACTTTGCCAAACCAGATTCATCAGGTGGAAATAATAGGGCTTGCCCCAGCAAATTACCCAGACAGAACACCCAATGACTTCAAAAATGAGAAGAAGGGGAGAGAGGGAGGATAAATAAAGAAAAAGCAAAGTAATAAAGAGACAACAAGGCCTGGCTCTTAGTTTATATATAGAATCAGGAAAGCCTCAAGATGTCTCCCTTTGTTCACTATTTTAACTTGACGTACAGGTCCCTATAATTTTTGATAATAAAGTTCTTGAAAACACCCACATGGAGGGTTGTGCTATTTTTAAGGAGCAGGTAAAGAGACAAAAGGATAGACTGGGACAAGAAAAAAAAAATTTCTCCAGCAGTCTAAGGTGAAGGAACCTAGGAGAGGCAGTGGCAGAAAGAAAACAGAAGGGGGCACTATCAAGCTAAGTCCTAGGGCTTGTTGGGAAAAGATGAGTACACCTCAGCCTGGTACCTTGACGTGGCACTGTAGCAACTCTGTAAATACTACATCATTCATTTATTCATTCCATGCCAAGGTATTGGTTAAGCGGAGTTACAAAACAAGGCAAAAGACAGCTCCTGTCCTCAAGGAGATAATCTAATGGGGGAAATGCATTATTTATCATCATTTGGATTATACAACAAATATATAATCTAATTGTTATTAGGTCATATTATTTATTTTGTTCCCTTTTATTTTCCATCTATCACATCACATCTCACTCAAAGCCTAACAACCTCTTCTTATTTCTGTAGATTCGGAATGTGGCTGCCAACCTCTGTGTAGACAGCAAACATGGTGCCACGGGGACTGAGCTGAGGCTGGATATCTGTGTGAAGGATGGCTCTGAAAGGACATGGTCCCATGAACAGGTACTTCAGACACACACACACACACACACACACACACACACACACACGAGAGAGAGAGAGAGAGAGAGACAGAGAGAAAGAGAGAAACAGAGACAGAGAGACAGAGACAGAGAGAGAGACAGAGAGAGACGCAGAGAGACAGAAACAGAGACAGAGAGACAGAGAGGAGTGTAACTGAGGCATAGTGGGAAAAGCCTTGATATAAGGAAGGAGTCAGAAGACCTGAATCTTAATCCTTAAACATGTCTAGTTTTGTTATTTTAGGCAGGTCACTTTATTTATCTGTATTAGCTTCCTCATATGAAGTGGGGAGAAGGCAATAAAAATAACTAACATTGAGGTTATCTAGTCTAACCATTTCATTTCTTACAAATGGGGAAATTGAGGCTTAGAGATAATATATGTAAAAGTGCTTTAAAAAGGATATGTGCTTTAAAAGAAAAAGTGCTTTAAAAAGGTCATGGGGGTTGCTGATTGAAATATTTGATGATTAAGTTCATAATAAAACAATTTAAGTATAAGGTGCTCTACAGTAATGATAACCAAAATTTCTATCCCTTTTCTAGTTCTGATCCTACAGGTTAGTTAACAAAACCCAGATAAGACTTTGAGGGTTTTATATTTTTGGTTTTGCTTTTTAATAGCTTTTACAAAAGTCTCTGGTGTGATATGAGTCTATGAGTCTAACATATGCAAATTCAACCCATCAAGTACTTATTAAATACATAAAGGGCCTATGAGGACAAAGAATGCAAAGAAAAAAAATGAAATTCATTCTCCACTCTATGAGCACTCACATTAACCAGAAAAGGTCAGGAAGAAGTGTTAGAAGGACAGCAGGTATTAGTGAGATGATAGTCTCTCTCATGTGACTTGCATTCTTTTATGGGGGGAGGAAATGTTGGGGGGATGTTAGGGGGAGAGGGGTTTTAGCCACATCCCCATCATGTTCCACTGGATTGTTACTACTCTGAACTCATACAAGCCAATTTTTGACTCTCAATTAATTCCTGGTTTAGATAATCCCATAAATTCAGGTTTGATCTGGGACAGTGTCCTGTTTCACTTCTGGAACACGACCTGAAAAATACCCTTTTTTCCCAGAAAAGTCCTCTCCCAAGGCCTTGTTAGCTGCCCCTAATCAACATACTCAGCTCTTCTACAGGGAAGGGATGCATGACAAACTCTCTCTTTAAATTCTCTTACCCTACTGGAGTGGCTGACCCCTTCCCTAACTGTCACAGCCAACTTTAAATTTTATTTAAGTGATCAGCTGGGTAAGACAACAGCTTGAGGCCATACAACTGGAGAAGAAGAATATTTCATTCCTATTTATTGTTACTTTGAAAAAAATCAGTTCTTGGTGAAAGTAATTGTACAAACATCTCTTAAAGATGAGCAGTTCAAAGGACAGACATGGCATTCTCAAGGCAGCACATATTACCCACCTGCTCTGTTTGAGGAATAAGCCAATTGATCTCCAACGTTTTTTTTGTAAGGGCCTGGTCAATGTAGTTGTAGTACTGTGATATAAAGCCAATGCAGCTGGTTAATGCGACTGTGGTACTACAAAAGTGAGTTAAGTATTGGTCGATCAGGTCACATAAGTATCAGCTGTTGGCACTGAGGATATTTAGTCTGGCAAAGAAAGAGCTCAGGCAGTACATAACTGTCTTCAAGTATATGAAAGACTTTCTTGTAGAAGAGGAATTGGGATTTGGTTCTCTTTGGCCCCAGAGTCAGAAGCAATTACCTTCCGCATACAAATACCACTCACTTGATGAGAGTAGAGATAGAGACTGTTTTTTGGGATCCAAAGTACAGGCAAAGTTAATTGTGTAGAAATAACTTTTAAAATTCCATTCAAACACCACCATTCTGCCTTTTTTTATTTTCTTTGGCCGGTCTGCAGTTCAATAGAGTGTCAGCAGAGGGCAGCACCAGACAGGAGGAAAAAACCCACTTGAGTAAACCAAGAAGTAGAAAGGTTAATGGCTTTTTAACACAGACATTTCCAGTCCCCAGAGACTCAGAAGATGGAGCTTTTCGGAGATTAAGCTAGGCTGACAGGAGGGAAATAATTAATCATATTTGAAATACAGATCGCAGTAAATTGATTCTGAGGTTAAAACAGTACAATCTGTTTTATTTTGCTGTAATGAACTGAAGGCCAGATTCACTCCTGTGCCCAATGCAGCCTAGTGTTTTTACATGTGGATTTCAATTGCTAAATGAGACAGGAAGTGTCAGAGCAGGGATTATTCGATTTTCTAATTCAAGGGACAAGAATGTAAGACCTTTCACAGCTGAAGGGGTGCTTTCCAAAAAAGAAAAAATAACAACAAAAAAAAATTGAGAGAGAAAGGGCGAAATGCTTCTGAGGAGAATGGTGGAGATTTGAGGGTCCTTCATTATATCTATTGAACCATATATGTAGTGAAGGGCTAGATAGGCTTTAGCAAAGAAAGGAAGATTTGTAATTCTTTCTACTAGCCTCACCTATTTAGTTCTTTGCTGTAGTATCAGCATGCTAAGATTTTTTAAAAGTTCCTTTAGAGACCAAAAGAAAAGTTTTATTGTTTTGTCTATTTGTTTTTTTAATCAAAAGTCTAATGACACACAAAGTACTCTTAGATCTCAAAATAAAACTTAGGACCCCTAAGGAACCCTGGTAATAAGGTGGGAGGCATAGAGAAGAGGAATGCTTGGCCTAATTTGCCCATCCTTGTTCTTTAATGTATACTTGGCAAAACACTGACGCCATGAAAGGGACATAACTCTGTATTCACTACCTGCTTCTACAAGGAAGCTGGGCATTGTCCCATCCCAAGAGCTTTAGTGACCATGTTGATATCAAGATAAATTGAAGTCAACATAAATGGTGAAAGGACAACTTACTGTGATAAATGGGTTCAGTCTAACAATGAAATTATCAGATTCAGCATAAGGAGGAAGTAGCCCCTGGGAAGGCTGTAATTGCTGGGGACTAGGCATGGTATTTCAAGAAAAGTTGAAGAAAACATTCATTTTCCATAGAAAAAAATAAATATTTCTTAATCCAATTGACAAGATTAAAGCAATAAATGTTTCACATTGCCAGCTTTACTGTATTTAGTACATTAGGATGTTCCAAAACAGTATGAAGATACTTCATACATCCTTGGTGTTAATGAAATGGCAATGAATCGTTGTGCTGTTTGATGTAGTGGATAGAGGACCTCAGGAGAGCTAAGTTTGAGCCTACCTCTGACACATACTGGATACTGACCTGGGAAAATCACTTAATCCCTCAGTTCCATGGGCTCTCCAAGACTATAAATTTTAGAACCAGTCTTGATCTGCTTTGGTAGAGGGAGATTGCACACCAAGAGTTCCCTCCATTGATAAAATAAAACATGCATTGCCATGCCATCCCAATAATTAACATCCATTATTGAAAAGTCTGATTCAAAACTGAAGAATTATTTGCATAGTAAGTCAGACAGAAGTCAGATGAACTAGTAAGCAAGTAAAGACTGTCTTTTTATGTGCATAAAAGAAAGACAACGTCTCACCTCACACACACCCCCAAAAAAAATCTATACATGGGTATCATAGCAAATCCAGACAAATGCTTCTTCCTGTCACTATTTTGCAGAAATTGTGTAGATAAAACTTTGTCTCATTTTTTTTAAAATGAGGCGAAGTTTGATGTTATATTGAGTCACTTTAGAATAGGCTAATTGTCTTTGACGTGATAAAGAGAAACCTGGCTTATGGGAAGCTGGAATGGACCTCAGGGGCTACCTCATTCAGCCCCCTCTCTTTACAGATGGCAAAACTGAGATCAGAGAGGTTAAGTTACTTGCCCAAGGCCACACAGATAATATGAGACAGAGATGGGATAGTTTAGAAAATGTATGACTTCTCTGCTTATGAGTCATATCCCCATAGTAGAAAGCAAGTTTTTGGAGGGCCTATACTTATTTTTTTTGGTTCTAGTATCTTCAACACCTAGTATAGCACCTCGCACATAGTAAATGCTTAATAAATGCACGTTGAGTGAATGAACAAGCAAAACAATTGTTCTAATAAATGGAAAATATATCACTTTGGCTGCTATGAACTACATTTAAGTGCCAGAAAAGAGTCACAGCAATTATAGTTTTCAAACTGGAAGGTCCATTGGAAACCATTTTAGTCCAGAGCCCTAATTTTTTTCAGATATGGAAATTAGGCCCAGAGGAATAAAGTGATTTGCCTCAAGTCACGTCAATGGTAAGCTCACTGGTGGGATTTGAACCCAGGTCCTCAGAATCCAGAATCTGAGTTCATTCTACTATATCAAACTGCCTCCTCAAATACATTTGAAAGAGGAGAGAGAATTTATTAAATGCTTGTTGTGTACCTGACACTTTGGTAGGTTTGTGGATACGAAAGTAAGCCAGCAGAGTAGTTCCTGCCCTCAAGGAGCTCGATAATAGAAGGAAGATGGTGCTAGATGGCAGCTAGAAAAGGACTGGGAGAGCGTAACTGTTTGGAAATGGAAGAAAAAGAAAGGCCTGGCTCCAGGCTCACTGATGGCAGCCCAAGGTGCTTCCCAGCTCTGAGTCCAAGGCTTTAGGTGTGGGGCAGGAGGAAGAGGGTGATCTTGAGAGGGAGGTGTGAAGGCACCATGGTCTAGAAGTAAATATAAGTCCCCCAGCTTCAAAGGATCTCTGGTTTTGTAGAGATCATTACAAAAGATTGAAAAAAACTTCCCTCCATGCCTTGGTAGGTGGTTTTCTTAAGTTGTTGTGACCACTCAACCCCTGCCTGGTGGCCAGATTTCCATTCACCCTCAGTTCAGCCAGGCTGGTCCTCAGACACACAGACTGTTGTTGTTTAGTCATTTTTAGTTGTGTCTGACTCTTCATGACCCAGCATGGGCATGAATGTCCAGGCTGGGCATTCTATCTACCACCGGCTGCCCCTCCAAATAGTTATTCCCACTGTTCGCCCTTGGACCAGATATGTGATTTTGTTAGTAGAAGGGAAATGTAGGAGTAAAATCTCCTTCAACCGATGAAGATGGGCAATTCATCTACAACTTTGAGTCTTAGGGAGTTGAAGCTAAGTGACTTTCCCCAGAGTCACAAATTGGGTATGTTTCAGGGGCAAGACTTGAACCCAGATCTCTGAGACCGTGTCTTCATCCACTGCGCCATACTGCCTTTCATCTCCATTTTATAGTTGAGGAAACTAAGGCTCAAAGACATGAAGTCATTCATTTAAGCTTATACAGATAGCAACAGGGGCAGAACTCAAGCCCAGATCTTTTCATCAGGGGTCCTTCCACAGCATCATGCTGCCAATCCTTGACGGTGTCAGGATTCCAGATCTGGTACGAGTACAGGAGTAGCTCTTCCTAGTACTTTGTCAAATAGAGACCAAATATCTGTAGGTCCAGCATCCCTAAGATTCTCATCTTTGTGGATTTGGCTCCCAGATTTTCCTGCCTGGTTTTGCCATCTACCTGCCTTCCCGCTGAGATTACTTTCCATTTACAAGGTATTTATCTTGTGCATAAATAGTCATTTACATGCTGTCTCCCCCATTAAAATGCTAGCTTCATGAAAGTTAGGACTGTGTTTTTGCCTTTATTTGTATTCCCAAGGCTCAGCACCATGCCCATCATAAGAGCTTAATATGAGCTTATTATTGACTGACTGCCTGATTGTCTGGTTGGGCTACTTCCCATCCTGACCACCTCTGTGTCTGGCTTCCACTCCTACTCATCCTTAAGGATTTGCTGTTTCCCAAACCCTCCCAAGCTCCTCACTTATTTCACTTCTCTCCTACAGTTTGGTAGCATGAAATACTTTTGAAAATTCTCAGCCTTGGCTGTAACTAAGCTACCCACTATTAATGACGTGCCTCCTACCCTACTTTGGCAGCAACAAGCCTTGGCCAACAATATAGAAACTCTGCTATTTGATAAAATCTATACAGTGATAGAGCTGTCCAAACGAGTAGAAACATGACAAAAATCAATACAGACCAAAGATGCTGCTCTAGCTGCTGGCAGAGCATCATAGGGACCAGAGTTGTAAAGGAACTTGGAGGCCAACTCCCTCATGGTATAGATGAGAATCAAAGAAAGGAAATGACTTTCTCAAAGTCACATAGGTAATAAGGCACAGAGCCAAGCTTTGGATTCTGACTACAAATCCCATGCACTTTCCAGTATGGAACTAAAGCAGATGTGATGATTGAATACCATAAATCAAGGAACACCAGTTACTCGTTGCAACATGAGCCATGGAAAAGGGAATTCTTCTAACATAGCAGCAAGTGAAATGTTTTTTAGACCCTAAGACATTTTTCTATCTCAGCCAATAATGTACTTGCGGCTTATCCTACTAAAATAAATTGACCCAGTTTCACCTAAACTTGAAAAATAAGCATAACAGTGATTACAAATATTATCTGGTGTATGTTGCACAGAGAGACTCAGTTGGTTCATTAGTAAAATGAATACCTATACCATACACCTCACTGGATAACAATCAAATGAGATATTATACCCAAAGGTCTTTTCAAACACAAAAGTTCTATACTGATATTAGCCCTTGAGGAGCTTACATTCTATTGGCCTGCCACAGAAGAGTTAGAGAAGGTAAAGAGGGCCCCCCCCAAGAGACAGCAAAATAATAACAAATGTAGAGAATATACATATATGTATTATATGTGTATATATAGTACATATGAATATATATGATGAAGCCTTGTGAATTTTCTGCTCAAAAGCCCATGGAGAACGCTTGGGCCTAAAACTTAAGATAAACATAATATTCTAGAACTGACAAGGTCCTTGAGGGGTCTTTTCTCCTATCTCCTAGAAGGAAAGAATTCTAATCAAGAAATGGAGCTATCTCTACTTTCTTTTTTTTTAAATGTCCCAGAAAAGAGAGTCTACCATCTCCCTTCAGGAAATTCTTTCAAATGTCTCAGCTAAAAAAAAAAAGCTTTTACCCTACAAGCATCCCTTTTTGTCCTGTCTTCACCGAGACTGCAAATAGCTACTCCCCAACCGCCTAGACAATGTCCTTTCTTCTGCCTGCAGAGCTGTTTTTAGATCTAACCCTTCCATTCTTCTTCTCTTCAGGCCACTTAACCCCAATTCCTTAGCTTTTCTTCATGCAGACTATTTGGCCAACCATTTAAACATTTTTTGTTGTTGTTGCTGTCATCTTCTGGAATCATGCCAGCTTCTCTACTTTTTCATTTCCTTTGCAGGACCTAAAACTGTCCCTAGCACTATATTAAGAACCGTGCTAAGAGTAGTGTGTGTGTGTGTGTGTGTGTGTGTGTGTGCGCTGTCTCTCACCTCTCCACCAAAAAAAAAAAAAAAACAAAGCCCATGGTGCCACATTCCAGCTTTCTATTTACCTCTGGTCCCAGGTTTATTTCCATTTTACTTGCACAATGACAACCCTTCCTCATTTTCTTTCCTTTTCTTCTTCTCCTATTTTTTTAACTGCATTCGGAATGAGAGAATCTTTAGACTTGGAAAGGTCTCTTAGAGGTCGTAGACTCAGCCTCTCCCCCCATGCTGCATTCCTGCTCTCTGCTATGTTCCTGACAGATGGCTAGCCAGCCTCTGCTTAGTATCTCCAGAGACAACAGCCTGCCTCCCCAGGTTTATTTCCCCGCACTTCTCTTCTGCTCCTCCCTGCTTGTATCTGCTTTTTTAAGCTGTATCAAGCTTGTTTTTAAATTTTCATTCTCTTCCTTCTGCTCAGACCACTGCTGCCCAAATTTTCATCTTATAACCACCCTCCTTGACGATTGCAACGCCTCCTGATTGGTCTCCCAGAATCCCACCTATCCCCTCTCCAACCCATTCTCTATAGGCTGCCAAATTTGTTATCCTAAAGCACATGTCTGAACACCGCATTCCCCTGCTCAGGAAGTGACAGTAGCTCCCTATTGTCTCTATGGATAAAATAAAAACTCCTCTGTTTGGCACGTAGAGTCAGATCCTTCACAACCTAGCTCTAAGTCATCTTTCCAGACTTATCCCACAGTATAGGGCATGCTCCAATCCAGCCAACCTGTCCTGCTTGTTGTTACCCATCCTTGATATCCAATCTCCTATGTCTGTGCCTTTGCCAATGCTGGTCCTCATGTCTGGAATGCCCTTCCTCCTCACATCAGCCTTTTGGAATCCCTAGCTCCCTTCAAGGATAACCTCAAGTGCTATCCTCGACACAAAAGCTTTTCTGATTCTCCTTTTTTTGATACTCTTCCCCTCAAAAATTATTTTATATTTATTTCATTTTTTATATTTACTCATCTGCATACATGTTTGTTTCCCCCCAATTTAATGTAAACTCCTTGAGGTAAGGAACTATTTGATTTCTATCTTGGTGTCCCCTGGTAGCATAGTGCTTGGCATGTGCTTAATAATGTTTCTTGAATTGACAAGAACTTTCACTAGGCTGACTGGACAGTATCTGAGTGTGAGTTCAAGTGGAGATTTGAAAGACTTTGTCCTTAGCATGACATCTATGTCCATTTATATGTTCTCTCTCTCCTTGGTGCCAATGGTGTAAACATGTTTTCTACTGCCTGCTTTGATCAAAGTCCCTGAGATGTTAGAAATGTTGAAATCACCCTTTGTAGGGCTGACCACCAAGGAAGATGTTTTGGACTGAGAAAAGTAATATTTTCCCCAAGTACCCATCCTTGCCAAAAACTCAAACTAGCCTGAAATGTATTATTTTTTTCCCTAGCTCTTCACCTTTGGATGGCGGGAAGATGTGCGTCCTGGAGAACCACTCCACACCCGAAAGTTTTGCTTTGATGCTATTTCTCACAGTAGCCCTGTCACCCTCTATGATTGTCATGGCATGAAGGGGAACCAGCATTGGGGCTATCGGAAGGTATGTCACAATCATAGGCTTACAGAGGCAGCTAGGTGGTGTAGTGAACAGAGCGCTTGGCCTGGAATCAGGAAAATCTGAGTTCAAATCCAGTCTGTAGGACCCTGGGCAAATCACTTAAACTTTGTCAGCCTCAGTTGCCTCAAATATAAGATGGGAATAATAATAGCACCTGCCTCCCAAGGTCGTTGTGAATATCAAACTAGATGTTCTAAAGTGCTTGACACAGTGCCTCGTATATAGTGGATACTGAATAAATGCTTGTTTCCTTCCTTCCTTCCCTCCTTCCTTCACTCTTGAGGTGTCCTTTGAAGGAAACCAGGAAGTCTAAGAAGCCAGGAGGGAGAGCATTCCAGGCATGTGGGACAGCCAGAGAAAATGCCCAGAGTCAGGAGATGAAGAGTTTTGTTCTTGGAGCAGCAAGGAGACTGGTGTCACTGGGTCACAGAATACATGGGGAAGGGGGTATAAGGTAAAAGAAGATTGGAAAGGTTTGGGGGAAGGTCATAAAGGGCTAATGTCAAACAAGAAACTTTATATTTGATCGTAGAGGACGTCACTGGAGTTTATTGACTGGGACTTGGGGAGGGAAAGAGTATGGAACATGGTCAGACCTGGGCTTTAGGAAGATCACTTTGACATTTAAAAAGAAGATGGACTGGAGTGGGGAGAGATCTGTGGCATGCAGGCTATTGCAATTTTCTAGGCATAAGGTGATAAGGGCCTGCTTCAGGGTAGTGACCATTTCAGAGGAGAGAAGGGGATGTATGTACAAGATGTTACAAAGATAAAATCTGACAGGTCTTGGCAACAGGTTGGATATTTAGGGTGAGTCAAGGATGACACCCAAGTAGTAAGCCTGGGTAACTGGGAGGATAGCGGTACCCTTAGCAGTAATAAGGAAGTTTGGAAGAGAGGAGGGTTTGGGTGAGAAGATAATGCGGTCAGTTTTGGAAATGCTAATATTAAGCTATCTATAGGATACCCAGTTCAACATGTCCAATAGGCAGTTAGAGATACAAGTCTAGAACCAAAATAAGTACATTTAAGAATCGTCAGCCTAGAAATATTAATTAAATCCATGAGAGCTGATGAGATCTCCAAGTAAAAGAGTATAGAGGGAGAAGAGAAGAGGGCCCAGGAGGAGGCCATATGATTAGTGGGCAGGACCTGGACGAAGTAGATCGAGAAAAAGTCATATCGGTAGGAGAAATGGGAAAGAATCGTTGTCATGAAAGCCTAGAAAGAAGATATTATCAAGGAAAAGAGGATGGTCAACAGTTTCTGCAGAGAGTTCAGAAAGGATAAGGGTTGAGAAAAGGTCATTAAATTTGCTATTAAAAGACCTTTAGTGACTTTGAGGAGAGCACTTTTGGATGAATGATGAAGTCAGAAGCCAGACTGTAGAGATTTAAGAAGTAAGTGAGAGGAAGTTAAGGAAAATGAGAGGTCCCTATTGTAGATAAGCTTCCCAAGGAGTTTAACCACAAAGAAAAGGAGAAATACTAGATTATAGTGGAGATGGATGGATTAATGAGGGTTTTTTGAGGATGGGAGAGACCTGGTATATTTGTAGGCAGTAGAGAAGCAGCCAATAAACAGGCATTGAAGATGAGTGAGAGAGTAGGGCAATGTGCTGGAGGAGACGTGATAGAATAGGATTAGTTGTGCAAGTAGAGGCATTTGCCTAAGCAAGGAGAAGGGCCACCTCCTCATAAGAGACAGGGGTAAAAGAAGAAATATTGGCAGAAGGCATCAGGGTAATGTGAGGTGAGGAAAGAATAAGGAGCTCTTGGTGGATAGCCTCATTTATTTTTTCAGTAAAATATGATACAAGGTTCTCAGCTGAAAGGGTGGAGAAGGGGATCTAGGGGAGATCTGAGGAAGAATGAAAGGTTTGGAAGGACCACTGGGGAGAGCACAAAATGAGTTAATTAGGGGAAGTGTAAAAAGGATTGCCTTTGTAGCAGTGAGGGCCCAGTTGAGGTTACATGACAAATTTGTAATGGACCCAGTCAGCAGAGTTTCATAATTTATTGTACAGGTAGATAAAATGATTGGAGGTTTGTTGTTTTGTTTTGTTTGTAACTAGATAAGAGTTTGGAGATATAAGCTCATCTTGTGTATACACTGAAAGTACCTTAGGGACAAATCCAGTAGCAGACAAGACAGCAGAGACAACATATATCTTTTTTGTTCCCACATGACTTTGATTTCTTCCCCTAGGTCTAGATATTTTTAAAGCTTTTCATCCCATATAGTTTGGAGATTGATTATTACTATTGCTAACATTATATGTGTTAGTCACATTGATGCCACATTTTAATCACATCAGGTTTAATCCCATTGAAGAGCATACCTAGCAGTCCCTTAATAGTATCTGAATGTCACATTCAGGGGTGCAATGAATCAATTTAATTTAGAAAAACAATATTAAACTTAAATTCTTGCAGCATGTGTTAGAGATTAGTTTAAAATGTTTTTGCAAGAATAGATTATAGAAAGGATTTTATAAAATAAGAGGGTATAGGATTTTAATAATTGTTTTTGTTGATGTCAGTTCTCTCTGACATTCTTGCCAAATGGAAACTATATCATTCAGATATTGTGTTGCCTAGCAAACACATACATGGAATACATACATAATGTAGCACCCAGGTCCACCCTCCCCAGTGGTCCTCCAGAGAACTTCTCTAGATTCAAGACACTTGGTGGGTCAGAATCCTCTACAAACCATAGCCTATGAGCCTTCACAAGTATGTTCATTTCCAATAGTCTGCCAAAAGAGTTTTAGTTAAAGACAAAGGTCTTTTAATGAAATTCCATATTTAAAAAATTACAACAAAACATTTCCCACATGAACCTAGATGATGTTTGGAGGATACACGTGTGGCCAGGACACCCAAACAGAGGGGCACACATATAGGAAATACATGCATCCCAAGCACACACAGGGAAAGGCAATTCATTGTTTTGATGTTGTTGCTGCCTTCTAATGATGTCATCATCTCTTCTGGGCCTTCTCTTTGACATGCATCATGTCTCTGATGCTCCAAAAATGCCATCCTTCTCCACTGCTCCCACCCAGGAATTGCATCTCTACTACTCTTCACACACAATATCTCCACTCTAGCTGGTCTTCAGCTATGGAGCCCCAATACTTTGCCCACCATCCATTGTGAGATGCTATGATCTGTAGGACTTTCCCCTGCAGGGAAAAGCAAAAAAATTTTCAGCCATTCCATTTACGAGACCACAGTTAGTCTTCAGCTAAGATGCTGTCTTCAAAGCTAATTATGACACATGTAGACTACGGTCTTATATTGCAACATTTGAGTAGATCTGTGAAGTCACTGACAGAACCTCTCCTGCAGTGCAGACCACAAAAAATCTACACCTCATTGCACATGGTTCTTGTCCAAGTCCTCCTACAAACCCTCTAATGTGTTGGAGGCCTTTCTCTAGGTCTTTTAACATCAATGGTACCTGTTAAAGCTATCTATCTTCCCTCAATCTCAGTCTGACACTAAGCCACCTCCTTTTCTGATCATCCTTTTCCTTGATGGTAGTCCAGCCTAAATGCATAAACTGGATCCTTTGCAAATTTGCAGCTAGAACTTAACTGAGAAAAAAGCTTTCCTTAGGGACTGAGAAAATTAAGGTAATTTTTAAACACTCTGAAAAACAGCAAATTCAAAACAAATGAAAAACAATGCTTCATTGAGTTAACAGTAAAATAAAAAAGTGATGAAATTGATTTTTAAAAAGCATTTTCACTGAGTTAAAATAATAGTAAAACTTTTATTAATTTAGTTCTGGACTCCCTTGAAGCATATTTTGTTTTTTAACTTTATTATTATTCTTAAGCCTTGAATTCAGACTATCTCTTCTCTTGGGCATATGAGAGCTACCACTTTGACTCTAGATTTTGTCTCAATTATTTCCTTCACAGACAGGAAGTTGCTAATAGAAAACCTTCCCATTTAAAGACAGGGGGAAAATAAAGAGCTCACCTAAGGTTTGCTCCAACATTCTCTATTTTTTCCAAGTTGCTAGGAGAATGCTCCAGCCACATGTCTAAACAGCAGCTAAAACCAGGGCTAATTCCCTTGAGTTTAAAAAAAGCTGTCCCCATCAAGGAAGAAGAGACACCTAAGTCCTCCAGCATTGCTCATAGGGCCTCCACTTGTGCCTAAGCCCTAGTCTTCCCCTGAAATAAGATCACAGACTTGAAGGGACCTCAAAAACCAGATAGTCACCCCCTCATTCTGTAGAGGAGCAAACTTCACCTCAGAGCGGTGAGCAGTAAAGGTAGAGAGTTTTTTGCGCATCAACCCCGCTTTCTCCTAAGATCTTGCCTGGTGAATACATATGCCTGCAAAAGTACCATCATATTTGTATATTCTATATACCCACGTAATAAGGCAACTGAAAAGAGATAATGAAAGAAAAGACATCCAGTCCCTTGTACTGGGAAAAATAGCTTCAGAGCACTGCAAAAATAGGGCAAGTTTTTCAGGTGAATTGTATAGTAGTTAGTGACTGGATGTGTCAAATGCATTTGCAATTTGACTTTCTGTAACCTGGGTAGTGGGAATTAGGTGGCATTTTTAAAAAGAGTAATGCACTAACTTTGCTAGTACATCAGCAAAGCACCTGAGTAGTAACTAATGTTGTGAGCAGGATACCTTGTGCTGGACCCCAGGAAAAAGACCACTTCTTAGCAATACCATTAATGTCCACTTATATCATGAATGACAGTGTGCCCATGCTTTACCGTTAGGCCAAGAAAAAGCTATAATTTCATGGAGGAGCTTACAGACACTTAGAAATAGATGAGACAAACAAATATGTGGGCATGAAGAGTCCTCCTGGCAGTTAAAGCTGTCTTCTGGGATTCACACTTAAAAATCTTTCCTCATGCTATCCACATCCAGAGAAAGAACCATGGAGCCTGAATACAGATTGAAGCATGCTATTTTCTCTTTTTTTGTTGTTGT